AGTAATGTAAATGTTAATAACTTGATAATACTCATTTTATGGAAGTCTAACAAGTACATTATTTACGTAAAAAATACTAGCAAATTCAAAAACATACGAAAAACTAATATTTGTACAGTGCCGAACAATTTAGGGGGGATAAAAGGTGAAACGACACCTATCGCACGCCACTAGAAGAAGCCAATAAATGGTTTCTGCCATATTTATGCATCCTTTAAGCTAGTAAATCTGTCGGTTGAGTTTGATAAAGAAAAATTAACTAATACCGGAGCTACAGGCAGATTCGGATTCAGCGGAAAAAAATACATGAATATACATGGGTCTGAATACCAGATCCGATACTTTTTTTTGTGGGGCTGTGAAATTGGAGAGGATGTAAAACATGTCAAAATATGATGAATACCTTAGTAGCGTTTTTGTCAGTGGCGGCCCCTAAGGGAGATACAACCCCTTGAAGGGGTAACTCAGGAAACAGGTTTTATTTCATAACTTCAAAACAGTTTAACATTAAATCGCGAAATTTTGAGGTTGTATTACTATTTATATGCTTAATAGTCGGTATAATATACAAATCATAATTTGCTACAGAGGCCTAAGAAAATGCAGGATCGTGGGGCAAATTGTACAATTTTTTTTGTACACAATTTTTTCTACTTCCTCAACCGAAAATATGAAATATGAGTACTTATTTCGTTAACACCTTGTATAATCATCCATAGGTTGTATATTGTATAAGCAAAACTTATTGGCTTACTCGGTATAGAATACAATTATTGTTACTATTGACATACATTTACCCCATTTCCTCAAATACGTATTATTCAAATATTAGAACAATCAATACGCAATATTTGTCAAATGACAACATCGTTTTATGGCAGTTTTTGCTCAAATAAGTGCAACAATTTCGCTATTTCAGCTATAAAAGCGTATATAAATTCATAGCTAGGGAGGTATGTTCAGGACTGAGCAATTTATTCTGTAATATCTTTATCTGAACCATTTCAAACAATGTTTGGAAAACGTAGAATGTGAAGAAAAGAAAATAATATGTAAAATATTAATAACAATTTCCAAATGCAATATGGTTAACTTATTTCCTGAGAAGTTGTCTCTCTNATTTTTAGCAATTTCTGTTGATTGCAATTGTTGATCACCGCATAGTTTAACATTGACACTATTTTTAAGTCGGGCTCTAGCAGAACGTGAGCCATATAACAAGTTTGGATTTAGAAGGATTAATAGAGAGGCAAAATTTGTTAGAAACATTTAAAAGGGAATTTAAGTCATCCGTAAGCATGTGGCCTATAGAATACTTCTTTCAACCAATATAAACAGTTGCAAGAGCTAATAACAAAAAACACAGATTTTTTAAAAAAAGTAAAATTAAAAGCTTCAAAATACCATTTCTTTGGTATTTTTTCATGTGTGCAATTAACATTTATAAGTTCTATGCTCAAGGAGAACTTCCGGAATAACATTCCTATGTAAAAAATAGTACTTATGATCTCTTGATTATAATAATTTATCGTTAGTTATTTAATTTACGTCATTCAGCATAAGTGTCGATTATCGATCAACAAAATAAGTTACATTTAAAGCTTGACACAAATTGTATTAAAACAATGTCTACATGGTTTTGCTAATGTGTACTTGTGGAACATACCACTCAGTAACGAAAATGGCTGTTCCACTGTTAATACTGTCCACACTTGTAACATCAGTTCTCAGTCAAAGCTGTAACATTAGAGATACAGACGAGGGAAGTGTCTGCGTCTGCAATGCAAAATACTGTGACACTGTTCCAGAATTGGATGTATCTACTGGAAAATATCAACTGTATTCTACCAGCAAGGCCAAATTAGGCTTCTACAGCACCACCGGATCTTTCGTTGAAAATACTGATGGAGAAGAAAGCTCCATCACTGTCGATCAAGAGACGAAGCATCAAAATATCATCGGATTTGGTGGGGCTTTCACAGACTCTGCAGGTATCAACATAAAGGGACTACCAGAAGCGGCACAAAAAAATTTAATCGAAAGCTATTTTGGTAGCAACGGTATCGCATATAATTTGTGCAGGGTTCCCATTGGTGGAACTGACTTTTCAACAAGAGGATATTCTTATGATGATGTTGAGGGGGACGACACGTTGGAACATTTTGCGCTTCAACAGGATGATTTGGATTACAAGGTACATTATACTATTACTTAGATATGATCAGCAACATAGTGATACTTAATCTTCGACAAAAATACTGCGATTGTATGGCAGGTGTCTTATTTATATTACATCAATGTTATATGACGTTTCAGTTGATTATATCAAAACCATAAAATCAAGTAATGATGCACACTTTCCAACACCAACTTGTATTTAATTTTGTAAAGGGTTTTAAAGAAAATGCAAAAAATTTTTAAAGTAAAGACTATAATATATTCATTCAATCAAAGTTCGCGAACGTATGTCAGAATTAAGAAAAATATCGATAAATAATCTTTTAGCTTATTAATAAACATGTTGGTTCTCTAAATTGTTTCGCGATATTTTCAGGACGGAAATGAATCAATACATCCCTTTAGAACGACATGGCAAATAGGTACTACAATTTTTTTGCGTTATTTTAAAAGTCGTTCCAACTGTAAATGCTGTACAGCGATGAGTTTTGAATTTATTAACAAAAATGTCCGTTTTTGAGGTTAATATTCCTGGAGGTATTAAACCCGAAATACTAATTTATAAAATCAAAAATGTCTCCACACTGGTTGACTTTAGCTATTTTCAACAAGTATACCGTTTTGTTAAATCCAATCCAATATTTCATATTTTGTTACTAGCAACTATACACGAGGCCCGAAAAAAATGTTAATACGTATAATCCATAACATTGCTTGTAGAGGACGCCTCGCATGCGTGATTATTATTTTATTTTTCCCACCCTGAAACATTCTCTCACTAGAAAATTGGAGACATGTCTGACTAAAACTTTAGAAATTATTAAGGCAAAACCATTTTTTATTTTTCATTTTTACATCCTGTACTTTTTTTATTATGCGACTTGGAATACAGGTATGTTAGGTTTAATCAACTTATTCTCACCTAAGGAATTTCTAGTATCATTTCTGCCCCTTCGTATAATTACACCCTGTATATCAACGTCGAACATAATGACTTCGTATATAATGAATTATAAGTTAGCGTACACTAATCTCTAAAAAACAATAATTATAATATATATTATTTTGCTCTAGATTCCCTTTATCTTACAAGCAAAGGCGTTGAGAAACAACAACATTAAACTATTTGCCTCTGCCTGGTCTGCGCCTACTTGGATGAAAACGAATAACAATTGTTCTGGCATGGGCAGTCTTAAAGATGAATACTATCAACTTTGGGCCGATTACATTTTGAGGTTTTACGAAGAATACGATAAGCATAACATCTCCTTCTGGGGTATGACTTCGCAGAATGAGCCTAGTGTTGGATTAACAATCCCTTCGAAAGGTAATTCTATGGGCTGGTCGCCCACACAAATGGTAAGTGCCTCCTATGGGAGAATGTATTATCAAAATTTCGAAATAATTAAATATTTATTGTTGCTGTTTAGTGGATAATACTACAGCTCCTTTCTAGTAAAACAAAACCATCGTCTAGTTTATAAAATGAGTTTATATTATTATAAATATCCTTTTTTAATGAATAGTAAGTCATGGCGACATTTATTACAGAAATTTTATAAAAAAAGTTTTTTTTAGAAATATTATTTACTAATTTTCTTGCAAAATGTATTTCGTGACACCCTAAGTTTTGTGAAAGTAGAATATTAAACACGAAATAGTTTTAAAGTGATAGGTAACACAGGTGACAAAACACATTTAATTTTACAATTAAAGTGAATGTTTTTTTGATGAAATGTGGCACAAACCCAATTGAGAGGACGTAAAGTCCAACAGCCTACTCAGATTTTAAATTAAAAGTTTATTATCGCAATCAATGTTGTCAAATAATAATTTTGTAACAAAAATAAGTAAATAATAAATGTGTTATGAAAGAATGAAATCATCATAGAGATAAATGTGATTTAAGCTAAGGTAGATATTATTGTCACGCGTTATCCTGAAACATACTGTAGTCAAGTCACAGAACATGACCTGACAACAATATGTGTCTGTATGAAAAAATAAAATAAAATGAAATGACATAATATGAAATGAAATGAAATAAAATAAAACAAAGTAAAATAAAATAAATAAATAANACTCGAGGCCTTGTTGCGGATGGTCAGACGATCCTCGGCATCGTTGGCCTGTTCTCAGACCTACAGTTCATATGGAATACGGTTTTGGGACTCTTGGTCAAGAATGAGACTGAAAAAGAGAAGAGAGAAGCGTGATCTGTGCTAGCTTCTCCATATGTTTGTCAGAAATCGACATTTAGGATGCCAAACTTTTTAGATCGTTCCTCGTAGCACTGGGTGATTTTTTGAAATAAGGATTTTTGATATTATTTTTAAATTTTTCCTTAAGCATTGATTTCAATTACACGAAAGATTTGTGTAACGGATAAGTTGTACGCAGGTGAATTTTTTTCTGAAAATTGCTACACTGACCAGAAAAGTATTAAATAATACTTAAATTAATTATGACGTAATGGAACAGCATTTGGCTGTTAGACTCCCTTGAGTCTATATAAAATTAATGCAACTGATATTTTACAGACCAGTGTCGAGTTTCATTTGAATCCGAGGAACCGTATTCGAGTTATTTAAAAAATGTATATTTGACAGTTATGTATCATTTTGTAACATTTGTGTTGAGTATTTTCGAACTAATGACCAAAGGAAACTTTTTGCATAAGGTACAATTTCTCACTTTTTGGTTTAGCTTGCCAGCATATTTTGGAAACACCCTGTTTAAAATTACAAATTTATCGTTTTTGTTATAGTGGCAACGAGAAGACTAGTGTCCGCATACAGAATAGCCAGGGACAGACCGCTGCCATACAAATAGAAGCTAACTCTATCAACACAGTGTTGTACAGTTAGATGGTAGTAATTGAAATGTAACAAGTGTAATAAGTGCAATACTACAAAAAATAATAATGCAACGAAAGTAAATATTTAAAAGAGTAAAATGTGTTTTTTTTACTTAATCATCCCACCTTTATTTCTTTGACTCGATAAATATTGTTTTTAAAACGAACAAAATATTATCCAGCAAATATATTTTAGTCTGGCGCTCCATTATTTATTATTCTTTATATCATTTGTTTAATTCACTGTTTTCATCCCATTTAATTCGTTAAACATACTAAGATATAAAATAGCTAATAACACAGCCACACAAAAAAAGAAAAGTAGTCTGTACTTTTCATGCGACATATGTTCTCTGTAGTATTTTTGCCTCCTGTTCACGAATCCGGTGTTAGAATTGAGCTATCACATCACAGGAATTTCCTAACCTCAAAAAACTGGTAAAAAATTTCATGAAAAAGTGCTAAGAAAAGTACAAAAATTTGTTTTTCTATATTCAAATGTTCATTTATATAGTTAAGACCCCGCCCAACGTGAATCCGCGGACAGCATTAATGGTTCTTTTTCTAACCTCAAAAAAAACGGGTCAATTAAAGTCAGATATCACGAATTTTCAAACAATACTAGATTCGCGCGAAATTTGGTATACGGAAGTTTTGTGGGCCGCTGATTACGGATCCGAGATCAATTTTGCAAAATTTAAGATGGCGGATCCAAGATGGCCGTCCAAATTTTCAAAAAATAACAGAATTGCAGCAAATTTGGTATACAAGGGTTTTCGGGGTCGCTGACTACGGATCCGAGGTCAATTTCGAAAAATTCAAGATGGCGGATACAAAATGGCCGACCAAATTTCAAATAATAACGGAACCGCAGCATATTTGGTATACGGGGGTTTTCGGGGTCGCTAATTCCGTATTCGAGGTCAGAATTGCCAAACTAATTTTGTAATATTTTACTTTATAACCTGAGTAGGTACCCAATCATGTGTTAATCTACTTTTTTCGGCTATATCTCGTTATTTTTTCTGTAAAAGATCTAATCACGGGTTGAATTTTGTAAATCTGATCTCGGATTCGCGATAAGTGACCTCGAAAACCCTCGTATGCCAAATTTGGGCGCGAATGTCTCATTTTTTGAAAATTTGGACCACCGCCATCTTGAATCTTGCAAAATTGACCTCGAATTCGTGATCAGCGACCCCGAAAACCCCTTATACCAAATTTGATGCGAATCTGTTATTTTTTTGAAAATTTGGTCGGCCATCTTGGATCCGCCATCTCGAATTTTGCAAAATTGACCTCGGATCCGTGATCAGCGACCCCGAAAGCCCCCGTACACCAAATTTGGCGCGAATTTGTTATTTTTTGAAGATTCGTGATATCTGACCTTAATTGACCCGTTTTTTTTGAGGTTAGAAAAAGAACCATCTACTGGATAAAGTGCTTGACTTTTTGGACATATATCCTAGACTTTGTTGTTTCAAAGCTGCCAATAACTTTAATATTTAAAGTAGTACGCAACATTGAGTAAATGGACCAAAGGGTTGACGGCTTTTTGATTTTGGTAATTTCGCTAAAATATATCAACACGATAGTTTCAGAAACAGTTTTCTGAATACCTTTTTGCGAACACCAACTCTTAAAAACATCATAAACTTTAACGTGCTTTGCACCACTCTTCTTAGGTAACAAATATTTTTCCAAACATTCGGTGGCTTCTCTCAGTTGAGAAGGAGTACAAATAACTTCTTCTGAATCGCTCATTGTCTTCGAAAACACATTTTTGATAACAATCTATGAAAAATGCAACTAATTTGAGTTTGTATGTGTGACTTTTTTTAGTGCCATAGTAACCATTACAAAATGCCAACTTGCATTTAAAAGGTATGGTTATAAATAAAATATTATACAAACCTCGGTGAAAAGTTTCATTCTTGTCTTGAGAAATGATTTACCACAGCGCTACGCCCTTTTTTCTCGACATGAATGAAACACTTTCCATGTCGATGTGTAATATACTATTTTTCACTTTTTTTTACTGCCCATGAAAATCTAGACAACCTATCGGAATGTTAGTTATTTTATGTTGTGGGCAATTAAATTACCTACAATTTAAGGTACCTAAAGTCATAGGTCGTCTAGATTTTCATGGGCAGTAAAAAAGTGAAAAACATGTAATCTTGCCATTATCTGTAATTTGCCAACTTAGCGCCACTTCTTTCGAGTCACTTTTCTGATATTATCATTCTACATACCCTTTGCCGTCATAAAGTGTAATAAAGTACCCACTAATATTTTTTTACGTTCAAACTCTAATTCGACTGGACTATAAGTAAAAGAGGCATATTTGTTGCCTATTATTTATAAAACAAATGAACGGATTATAATGAAATATCTATTTTTAACTTACGTTACTTACGATAAATTAAATATCAAAAAACAAAATTAGATACATTCTTAAATAAAGAGTAAGCTATTTGACTATTCTAAAAACTCATCAATTCGCTGATTTATTCAAATATCTTAAAATTCTTTTACATCTAATTGCGACTCACGCTAAGAGCAAAAAAACATATTCTTACTTTAATTTACTAAAAGTTTTTCATTGTTCTTGCAAAAAAGTTATAAAATAATTATTTCTAACAAAATCCTTTAAGTTAGTGGATTAGCTAATTAAATTCCCTTTAAAATGTTTTTTTTCGATACGTTGAAAATTCATTGAGTAATCGCCGGCATAAACTCGGAAAATTTAAAAATTTTCATTTCGAGAAAAATGAGTTTGAAGTTTGCGGTAAACAAAAATTGCGATTTTTTTATACACACTGCTATTTAAGTATTCACTTTTCGCCTAATCAGCTTGGCCTGCACCGTAAAGGAGACCTTCTTCATGTTCAAATTGTTGTGATTCGGCAGCAGCTCTAATTTTTTTCTAATCGACCTACTTTATCCTGATTGCCGGTTTTATCGTGATGTCTTAACAAATTCGCAAAACAGGTTACTTAATAAGTGATAATGCTTAAAAAATAATTGCAAAGAATAGGCGAGTAGATTTTTATTTTATTCTACTATATTCATAGAATATTGCTAGTAAATTCGATGCTATAGAGAGAGTACTTCTTTCAACCAATATAAACAGTTACAAGAGCTAAAAACAAAAAACATAGATTTTTTAAAAAGATATCTAGTAATATTCCATTTCTTTAAAAGTTTTTGTATTTTTTTTATAAGTATGTGCAATTAACATTTATTCATTCATTCCTATGTAAAAAAATAGTACTTATGATCTCTTTGTAGTGGCTCTTGATTCTAACAATTAATCGTTAGTCATTTAATTTGCGTCATTCAGCATAAGTGTCTGATTATCGATAAACAAAATAAGTTACATTTAAAGCTCGACAAAAATTCTATTAAAACAATGTCTACATAGTTTTGCTAATGTGTACTTGTGGAACATATCACCCAGTAACGAAAATGGCTGTTCCACTGTTAATACTGTCCATACTTGTAACATCAGTTCTCACTCAAAGCTGTAACATTAGAGAAACAGACGAGGGAAGTGTCTGCGTCTGCAATGCAAAATACTGTGACAGCATTCCAGAATTGGATGTATCTACTGGAAAATATCAACTGTATTCTACCAGCAAGACCAAATTAGGATTCTACAGCACCACCGGATCTTTCGTCGAAAGTACTGATGGAGAAGAGAGCTCCATCACTGTCGATCCAGATACGAAGCATCAAAATATCATAGGATTTGGTGGGGCTTTCACAGACTCTACAGGTATCAACATAAAGGGACTACCAGAAGAGGCTCAAAAAAATTTAATCGAAAGCTATTTTGGTAGCAGCGGTATTGCATATAATTTGTGCAGGGTTCCCATTGGTGGAACTGACTTTTCAACAAGAGGATATTCTTATGATGATGTTGAGGGTGACGACACGTTGGAACATTTTGCGCTTCAACAGGATGATTTGGATTATAAGGTACATTATACTGCTACTTAGATATGATCAGCAACATAGTGATACTTAATCTTCGACAAAAATACTGCGATTGTATCGCAGATGTCTTATTTATATTACATCATTGTTATATGACGTTTCAGTTGATTATATCAAAACCATAAAATCAAGTAATGATGCACACTTTCCAACACCAACTTGTATTTAATTTTGTAAATGGTGTTAAAGAAAAA